ATAAGGGTGTTGTGATAAGGACAAAGAGGTAGTACAGGTTAACCGTGGGAAAGATAAGGGGGAGGGACGGAGGAGGAGGAGAGAGGGAGGGAGTAGGAGGGAAAAGGAGGTGGGGCGTGAAAATTTACAAAAAAAAAAAAAAGAAGGTACGTCCTTAATTCGAATTAAAATTTATTTTTCCATTCAATTTTTTTTTTTTTTTTTCCTTTTATTTTTCACATAATCTTCATGTATACACACATACGCATTCGCACGCACGCACGCACACAAAATAATAATAATTTATTTCTTTTGTTCGTTTTAATGTATTTTATCTGTGAGATAATAAATTAATAAATAAATACACACATATAGATAAAATAATCATTACAATCAAACCTCCCTTTAGAGAAAGAGAGAGAGAGAGAGAGAGAAAAAAAAATTAAAACAAAATGTTTTGTTCGGTAAAAAAAAATTATGTTTTGTTCAAATTTAAAATAATAATAATAATAATAATAATAATAATAATAATAATTTCGGTACGTTATCAATTTTATCACAGGTATTTAATTAAAAAAATTTGTTTCTTTTAATTGCAAATGACTATTTTAAACAATCTCACACGGTTGTTGCACGTACACATACACGTACACATACACATACACATACGCACATACGCACACGTACAAAAAATTTAAAATTACGCACGATGTGGATGTGAACATAAAAAAAAAAATAGATTTAAACTAATTAATCAATCAATAATTAATTTTTTTTTACAATACACTACATAATACTAATGATAATGATGATGATGATTATGATGATCTTGTTGTTTATGATGATGATGATGATAATGATGATCTTGATGTTTGTGATGATGATGATGATGATGATGATGATGATGATGATGTTGATGATAATGTTGATGATTTTGTTGTTTATGATGAGGATGATTGTTGATGTTGATGATTTTGTTGTTTATGATGATGATGATGATTGTTGATGTTGATGACGTTGACGACGACGACGACGACAACGATGACGATAAATAATAATTAACATTTCATTTTATAAATATAATTAAAAATATTTTTTTTTTTTAATGACAAAAAATAAAGACTTTTA